AAGGCAGATGCTTAACCATCTGAGCCACCCAGGCGCCCCTATCTTGTTCTTTTTAACTGAAGTTTTTATTGTGATAATTATAGATTCACATGTAAGAAATAATACAGAGGGATCTCTGTACACTCTGTCCAGTACCCCCCAAGTGGTAACATTTTGCAAAACTATAATACACCACCATACTGACATTTATACAGTCTGCTGATCTTATTTTGATGCCCCCAGTTTTACTGGTACTCATGTGTGTTTGTGGGGTATGGAGAGGTCCATACAATGTTATCACCTTGTAGGTTTGTATATCCACCACCACAGTGAAGATACTGAATAGTTTCCACACAAGAGGTCCTCATGTTGCCCTTTTATAACCACACTTGCCTCCTTCTCCAACCCCTGGCCAACTACTGATCTGCTTCTATTTCTAAAATTTTGTTTCAAAAGTGTTATATATATATATATATAGGATCATATAATATGCAACTTTAAGAAATGACATCATTAAACATAAATCTCTAGACATTCATTCAAGTTGCTGTATCAATAGTTCATTTCTTTTTATTGTATTCCATGGTATGTACGTACTATTGTTTAACCATTTAGATGTTGAAAACCATCAGGAATGATTCCAGTTCTTGACTATTACAAATAAAGTGTCAGTAAACATTCATGCACAGGTTTTTGTGTGATATAGTCAGATCGCATTAATTCCACTGCTCACAATCTTCTAATGGCTTCTCATCTCAATGAGAATAAAAGCCAAATGGTCCAGAGGGCCCTACATGATCTCCCTGCAAGCCCCAACTTATTTCCAACCATTCTACCCCTTGCTTACAGCACATGATGTTCTTGCTCTTCCTCCAACAAACTGGGCACATGCTTGCCTTAGGGCCTTTGCACTTAATGTTCCTTCTGCCTAACACACTCTTCCCTAACACAGCTAAATAACCTACTCCCTCACTTCCTTAAGGTCTCTGCTTAAATGTCAACTAACTAGAGAAGTCTTCTCTGTTTATTATATATAAAAAATGAATCCCACAGGCCCCCCCCAGTGCTGCACGAGAAAACCTCTTCTTACCCCGTATTTCCCTCTGTATTACCTGACATTACATAATTATTGAATCAATGTCTGTATCCTGTCACTAAAATCTAAGTTATATTCAAGCAAAGACTTTGTTTTGTTCACTCCTGCATCCTCAACAGAGAACAGATTGTGGCACATGCTAAGTAATAAAAAATAGCCAATATAATTAATTTCAATGCTAACAGTAAACTTACGAAAGCCATATAGGTTAACCTGGAGTCCAGGTGCGTGGGTGGCTCAGTCAGGTTCCTGGGATTGAGCCCCGCATCAGGCTCCCTGCTCAGGGGGGAGTCTGCTTCTCCCTCTCCCTCTGCTGCTCTCCCTGCTTGTGCTCTCTTGTTCATGCTCTCTCAAATAAATAAATAAAATCTTTAAAAAAAAAAGTTAACCTGGTGTCATCCAAGATTACTGAAACTCTTAGCTCTTAACTTTATATGACAGTAACTTTGTTTTAGGATGGTTCTTCCTGGATCAGATCTTCCTAAATTAGGAAGCTATTTAAGAAATAAAAAAATCAAGGGGAGCCTGGGTGGCTCAATCAGTTGAGTGTCTGCCTTGGGCTCAGGTCATGATCCCGGAGTCCCAGAATCGAGCCCCATGTGGGGCTCCCCTGCTCAGTGGGGAGTCTGCTTCTCCCTCTCCCTCTGCCGCTCCCCCCACTTGTGCTCGCTCATGCGCTCTCTCAAATAAATAAAATCTTAAAAAAAAAAAAATACACTCTGCAGAGAAGATTCAATAGAAGGTATAAACACTTTCAAATATATTAACCATCAAATGCAATTTTAAAGAAAGTAGTAGGCAATTTTAGGGGGAAAAATAAAAATGAGGAACATTTGGAAAAAACAGTCCCTTCATAAAAATGCCAATGACATGGTATTTGAGACAGATTAGGGTAAGAAATTGATAAAAGTATATGAACACATACCAAGAGTAATTATTTAGCGTATGCTGTTTTTTAATGCTTAGGCAGTCATTATAAAAAAGTTTTTAATGTGGTTGGATAGAGCTTATTTTTGAGATTTACAGTATATAATAAAGCCAATCTCTTAGTCAACAAATATTTCAAAAAAAAAAATACTAATTATTTTGAGCATCCTCTCCCTTTACTCTCAAAAGTGTTCCAGTATAGGCCATAAATTCAATAGTCATCCTACCAGTAAGGCACTATAATGGACAATATGACAGGACTGAGATATTAGAGGCTAAGGCAATGTTCTGTCACCCAGGTTCTATAGGTTTGGAACACAACAGTCCTTGGAATTGACTAAATAGCTTCCTCCAACAGATTGCTCTTTATCTCAGAGTAAACTCTGTCACACAAAGATTGTTTATAGTATGGCTTATAGAATAATAAAATGAACACCCACGAATGCATTGTCCAGCCTCAGAAAGAGAAAATTGCAAGGACTCACACGTTCCCCTTTCCAGTTGCATCTCCTTCCCCCAGTGAAGT